TGCTGTTTTCAAGGTACAACTGCCTTGAGTGAATGATGTCAGGCTCCCCAGAAGTTTCAAATGGAGAGATCACTGTGTCATTTAGTACCAAATTTTCAAAAATCTATCGCTAAAGCTACTTATGTGTACAAGACCTGAAGCAGAATCACTGCTTAAAAACAAAAAAGATAGAATATTAGAAATATAGTGATGTCAGAGCCAATTCTCAGAATAGGCAGTTCCCAGTTGATAAACTGGGGTTTAAAGCTCAGTATAAATTTTATGATAAAATTATTAGCATGGCTTCAACCATGCTATGAGTTAAATAGGCTTTATCAGGCTGGACTGGGAATCCAGTCCCCAGGTAAAACATTTCCCTAAGGGATGAGGTCTTCAACAGTCAAGAGGTGAGAACACAGCAGTTCTGTGAATATGCCTGTCTCCCCTCCAACTGCCACCATGAAGGTGTGAGATGCCACCCTGAGCTTAGAAAAAGGCATCCCAGTAGTTCAGGAACAAGCCTCATGCTGGAGACTCTGGGAAGGATCCTATTCAGGTCCCCTGTGCACCCTGGCCTGGCTGTTTCTAATCACGTTTACCAAGGGAGGTTTATCATTCAAAGATGTTGACATATTTGCAACTCAGCAGAAGCCAGGGTTACACTAATTTCTGTTTAGCTTCCTCTCCAGTCCCAGCAATCCCTATCCTACAGCTGGAGGAGTGTTGCACTCACAACAACAGCGCTACGCTCTCCTGGAAACAGCCGCCTCTGTCCACGGTGCCCGCCGAAGGATACATTCTAGAGCTGGATGACGGCAATGGTGGTCAGTTCCGGGTAAGCAGAGAACCTACTACTTGTTAACCAAAGCCAGCAACTCCCTCAGAGGACCTTCCATGGTGTCTCATGCCTGACTTCCCTTCCCTGCTAGGGGTAGGCCATCCTGTCAGGTCCTGCCCATCCCTCAACTGAGGCCTGCTTTCTCTTGTACCATCAAAGATGGACAAAGGAATCTCTGAAACTGTCCTACCCTTCTTAAGAAACTGCATGCAGTGCTGCAGTTTCTGGAATCAGACTGCCTGAATTCAAATCCAGTCTCCTCCACTCACCTGTGTGTTTGTGCCTATTACTCACCTCTTTGAGCCTTCAGGTCCTTGTTTGTCTAAGTGAGGGATTGATGACAATAACATGAATCTCATGCCTTGTTGCTAAGAGCTCATTAGGGAATCCATATAAAATTCTTAGCATGCTGCCTCGTACATGGCAATCCTGCAGTTTAGCTATTATTATTATTGTTTATTGCTAATAATATAATTAACCATTTTCTAAGATTTGTTTTTACAATCCACGGTATCTAATGGCTTTGATTGGAATTCTTTTTTTTTTTTTTTAATTGTAACATAGTTGATTGTACATATCTGTGGGGTACCAAGTTGAATATCATTATTTGTGCGCAATATATGATGCTCAAATCAGGATAATTAGTATATTCAACATTATACAATGTAGTCATTTTTCATGGCCCTTTACCAATTCCTGCCTTACCTCATCCTCCTTTTCCACCTCTGGTAACCTCAGTTTTGCTCTCTCCTTTTGAAAGTTCAACGTATTAATGTGATGGTTGTATCTTTCCTTCTTAATTTCTTTCTTTTTTATTTATTTGTTTATTTTTTAGATCTCACTTACAAGTGAGGACATGCAGTATTTCTCTTTCTGTGCCTGTTTTTTTTCCACTTAACATGATTTTCCCTGAGTGTGTCCATGTTGCTGTGTGAATGGCAGTATTTCATTTTTTTTATGGTAGAGTAGAATACCATTGTGTATATATACCACATTTTCCTTACCCAGTCATCCAATGACATTTAGATTGGTTCCAACTCTTGACTATTATAAACAGAGCTGCAATAAACATGAGAGTGCAGATATTCCTTTGGCATGATGGTTTCCAATTGTATGGCAATCGGATTGTATGGCAATTTTGCCTTGATTATTTCACTTAATATAATATTCTCTAAGTCCATCAATGTTGCTGTGAATTGTGGTATTTCTTTTTTTTTATAGCAGAGTAGTATTTCATTGTGAAGATATACCACATTTTCCATATCCACTCATCTGATGATGGACATTTGGGCTGGTTCCAACACTTGGATACTGTAAGTAGTGCTGCAATAAACATGGGAGTAGAGGTATCCCTTCAACAGGATGACTTCCATTCCTCTGGGTATATACCCAACAGTGGGATAGCCGGGTCATATGGTAGATCTATCTGCAATTGTTTGAGGAACCTCCATACCATTTTCCATAAAGGCTGCACCATTTTGCAGTCCCACCAACAGTGTATGAGAGTTCCTTTTTCTCTGCAACCTCACCAGCATTTATCACACTCAGTCTTTTGGATATTAGCCATCCTAACTAGGGTGAGATGGTATCTCAGTGTGGTTTTGATTTGCATTTCCTGAATGCTGACTGATGTTGACCATTTTTTCATGTGTCTGTTGGCCATTGGTATATCTTGCTTTGAGAAATGCCTATTCAGCTCCTTTGCCCACTTTTTAATTGGGTTACTTGTTTTTTTGCTGTTAAGTTGTTTGAGTTAATTGTATATTCTGGTTATTAATCCTTTGTCTGATGTATATTTTGCAAATATTTTCTCCCACTCTCTTGGTTGTCTTTTTGCTCTGTTAATTGTTTCTTTTGCTGTACAGAAGCTTTTTAGTTTGATATAATCCCATTTGTTTATTTTTCCTTTTGTTGTCTATGCTTTGGGGGTCATATTCATAAAGTCTTTTCCCAGTTTTACTTCCTGAAGTGTTTCCCCTATATTTTCTTTTAGAAGTTCTATAGTTTCAGGCCTTATATTTTCATCTTTAATCATTTTGAGTTGATTTTGGTACATGACAAGAGATATGGGTCTGCTTTCATTCTTCTACATATGGATGTCCAATATTCCCAGCACCACTTATTGAAGAGGCAGTCTTTTCCCCAATCTATGTTCTTGGCATCTGTGTTGAAGATCAGTTGGCTGTAAGTATGTGGGTTGATTTCTGGGTTCTCTATTCTGTTTCATTGGTTCAAGTGTCTGTTTTAATGTCAGTACCATGCTGTTTTGTTTTCTATAGCTTGGTAGTATAATTTGAAGTTGGGTAGTGTTATGCCTCTGGCTTTATTTCTATTTCTTTTTTTTTTTTTTGCTCAGGATTGCTTTGGCTATTTGGGGTCTTTTGTTGTTCCACATGAATGTTAGGACTGTTTTTTCTGTTTCTGTGAAGAATGTCATTGGTTTTTTTATGAGGATTGCATTGAATCTGTAGATAGCTTTGGTTAATATGGACATTTTCACAATGTTGATTCTTCCAATCCAGGAGCATGGAATGTCTTTCCATCTTTTTGTGTCCTCTTTAATTTCTTTCAGGAGTGATTTGTAGTTCTTGTTGTAGAGATCTTTCACCTCCTCTGTTAAATTTATTCCTAGGTATTTGCCAAGGGGGTGACTATTTTAAATGGGCTAGCTTTCTTGATTTCTTTTTCATCTTTTTCATTGTTGGAGTATAAAAATGCTACTGATTTTTCATGTTGATTTGCATCCTGCAACTTTACTGAAATCATTTATCAACTCTGAGAGTTTTTTTGCAGAGACTTTAGGCTTTTCTGTATATTGGATCATATGATCTGCAAACAGGGACAATTTTACTTTGTCTTTTCCAATCTGGATGCCCTTTATTTCTTCCTCTTGCCTGATTGCCCTGGCTAGTACTTCCAGTACTATGTTAAATAGTAGTGAGAGTGGGCATCATTGTTTTTTCCCATTCTTAAGGAAAAAGCTTTCAGCTTTCCCCATTCAGGATGATATTGGTGGTGGGTTTGTCATACACAGTTTTTATTGTGTTCAGATACCTTCCTTCTATACCTAATTTTCTGAGAGTCTTTATCGTGAAGTTTGGTGAATGTTGTCAAATGCTTTTTCTGCATCTATTGAGATAATCATATGGTTTTTGTCCTTGATTTTGTTGATGTGGTGTATCACATTTATTGACTTGTGCATGTTGAACAACCTTATATCCTTGAGATGAATACCACTTGATCACGGTGTATAATTTAAAGTGTTGCTGTATTCTATTTGCTAATATTTTATTGAGTATTTTTGCTTCCATGTTCCTCAAAGATATTGGCCTATAGTTTTCTTTTTGTGTGTCTTTGTCTGGTATTGGTATCAGGGTGATGCTGGCCTCATAGAATAAGTTTGGGAGAATAGCCTCTGTTTCCATATTTTGGAATAGTTTGAATAGAATTGACATTAATTCCTCTTTAAAAGTCTGGTATAATTCAGCAGTAAAGCCATCCAGTCCTGGGCTTTTCTTTGTTGGAACTCTCCTGCTTACTGCTTCGATCATATTGCTTGTTATGGTCTGTTCAGGTTTTCTCTTTCTTCTTGGTTCATTCTTGGTAGTTTGTATGTGTCCAGAAATTTATCCATTTCCTCCAAGTTTTCAATTTTGTTGGTGTATAGTTGTTTATAATAGTCTCTAATGATTCTTTGTATTTCTGTGGTATCAGTTGTAATATATCCTTTTTCATTTCTAATTTTTGTTGAGTCTTCTCTCTTCTCTTTTTAGTTAGGATTGGCATTCCTCTTAATTGACATGATCTCCTGTTATAGCTTCCCTATTCTGAGAAGCTATTCTAGCAAAGGTTTCCTCAGTTCTATGGTTTTTTTCTGAGCTTTTCACCAGACAGAAGTGGTGCCAGCAGTTTATTACAATCTCAAGGCAAGAGTGCTCAAACCCCATTGGGAAGCTCATGGTCCCCTCTGAAGGTAGGACAGGCTGGCCTTTTGGTAAGACATGGCCCTGTTGCCTAAAAGTTGATAATCAATGTGTGACTGCCTGTCTCCACATGTGCGCTTTTCTCTCATTTTCACAGCCTCATTCTCATTCATTCTCTCCCCACACCTTGCTTACCACTCCCTCCACCCGAGTCTGGCCTGGGTTTTCTTTCCTGGGAGCTCCATTGCCTGTGATCTCCCAAGGGAGCAGCCCTTCTGAGTACTGAGGCCAATCCTTGCATTGATGAAAATGGGACCCCTATCCAAAAGCAAACCCCAGGCCCCTGAGGACAAGGTTTTCTTCTGGCCATAAATGGTCAAACCTGGGCCTCTAGCTTTCAAGAGCAAAGCCTATCAAGGTCTCCTTTTCCTGAATGTGTTTTTGAGCCTCCACTAGGTTTAAATGCTTGAGAGCAGGGACTATGTTTTCTATAATTCCCTTCAAAGCCAAAGTTTTTCTCTTTTGATAGAAAAGACTTATTTACATGTGTGTTGACTTATTGACATGACAAAATCAAGTTTCTACTTTTACAAGATAAGGATCTCATGTTCTATTTCAATTCATGTCTTTTAGACTCGGTGTGTGTGTGTGTGTGTGTGTGTGTGTGTGTGTTTAAAAATCCTGTCTGTTAGTTTCTCACCCTGACTTTGCCTTTTTGGTTCCTGTTTCATTTTCAGGAGTTTTTTTGTTTGTTTGTTTGCTTTTTATTTTGTTTTGTTTTGTTCTCAAAGGAAACAATCAACAGAGTGAAGAGACAATCTACAGACTTTTATTTTCCCTCTATTATGTTTTTTTTTTCCTCCAGTGAAAGTAATTCTCTTTTCCCCAATTCTCTAAATAAGTACTTTTATTTTGTCATGACTTTTTTCTCCCAATTACTACCTGTCAGCAGTCTTCGAGGCATCAGCCTGGGCATGGTCCCCTTCTCTTACCATTCAAAGGTCTTCAGCTCCTCCTGCTTTCCACACCCATCTGAATGCTGACACCTCTCCAGTCCATCTCTCTCACCCAGACTTCTCTCCTGGGAGTCAGGCCCAGATTTCCAGCTGGGGGCTAGAAATTTTCATTTATACATCCTGAAACTGTCTTAAACTCAACATGCTCTAAAACAAACCCATAATTTTCTTTAAAACTTAGCTCTGTTTCTTCTTCATCCCAATTGCCATTTCTTAGATACTAGACTCAGGATCTGAGTACCATCCAGCTCCTCCTTCCTCCTTGAGCTCCAATAACCTTAAAGAAGTCATTGAATCCCACTGATCCCTTCTAGTTAACCCATGACTCTGTCATCGAGATCCCTTCCTCTTATTCCACAGGTTACTGCAAAAAAGTATGACCATGCTACAAATTTCCCAGCCCGAGAGCCCGCTTACCCTCTACTGTCTTCATGTTATTCCTTGACTTACTACTCAAAGTGTGGTCTGCCCCCAGCAACATTGGCTTCACCTGGGAACTAGTTAAAATGCAAAATCTCATCCCCCACCCCAGAAACCTACTGGATCAGAAACTGCATTTTAACAAGGCCCTCAGGTGATTCACATGCATGTAAAGTTTGAGAAGCACAGAAGGAGAGGGTATGATATTAAGATTTTTGTTATTGCTGCAGTAGTAATGAGTTGATGGACAATCCAAGACCTCAGTCTTCTTAGCATCCACTGGAGAGTTGTCATTTTAAGGCTGTGCTTTGGATGCACATTATTTTTACTTATTACACCAGCATAATTTTGCAAAGTGCACAGCCGAAGAAGGAGGCAAAGCCTAACCTATGCTAAAGATGCATTATGCTAGGATTTATTTTAAGCCTTTAAAATGTCATTTTTCCTCCCTTCCGCTTATTACACCAGCATAATTTTGCAAAGTGCACAGCCGAAGAAGGAGGCAAAGCCTAACCTAAAGATGCATTATGCTAGGATTTATTTTAAGCCTTTAAAATGTCATTTTTCCTCCCTTCCCTTTCCTCCCCCTTCCCTCTATACTGTAATGAAAACCTATACATCTATAGCTTTGCATTTAATCTTTGTGACCATTCCTGAAGTTATCAGTAGAGTTATAAATACAGCATAGAGACTACCCTCATGTTTTCATGTTTTCAAACATGTTTTTTTACAAACAATACAAATGGATAAAGAGTTCAGTAGATGTAATATACTGTTTAAGTGCCAAGTATATTTTTTAATATACCTGTTTGTGTCAGATTAATATTAATAACCATAATCCTAACTATAAGCACTTAATTTTGATTTTTTAAGCCCTAGCTGCTAATAACTACCATTCGTTAAGCTGTCAGACTCATACTAAATACAAGGCACTATGCTAATCAATCTTTACATATAATCTTATATAATCCTTATATTGTCCCAAGTTAACAGATTAGGAAATTGAGGCTAAAAATGGTAAATTAAATGGCCCAGTATCTCACAGGACTCAAATCCAGATTTGAGTCAAGTTCTTGCTCCTAACCACCAAGCAGTACTGCCTCTCTTGCCCCTTACAAGGGTGCACATTAAGTGGTATCCTTTTATTTGTTGCCCCTCAGGAAGTATATGTTGGAAAAGAGACAATGTGCACCGTGGATGGTCTTCACTTCAACAGCACATACAACGCTCGAGTCAAGGCCTTCAACAAAACAGGAGTCAGCCAGTACAGCAAGACCCTGGTCCTCCAAACGTCTGAGGGTAAGGCCCTTCAGCAGTATCCCTCAGAGCGAGAACTGCGTGGCATCTAACATGGCTGGCAAGCCCGGAGGTAACCCCACCACTGCCCACACTCCTCAAGTGTTTCCATGACTTGCTCTGCATTCTGCACAGAGCCGCTGTTCCTCTCCTGCCTTTAGCAAGCCCATGGGATGTGGATGTGATCAAACCAAAGATTCCACATCGGCAGTTCAAATGGCTTGGGCCATCCGCTTCCTTTGATAACACTCTAAATAAGCTGCAGTTGAAGAAGCTGAAAAATAAAGGCCTGAATGTGCCCCCGGTGTGTAAGACGAATGTATCTAGGCTCTAGAGCAGGCTCCCATTCTCCAACGATACACATCATTTGCCAGTTTTGCCCAGATGATTCTAAGTTACTCTGTAGTCCTTGCCTGTTCCTGAGGGTGGGAACTAGGTTCATTCCAGCTGTGGATTTGTATGACTGAACATGATTCAAGTGGGTGTGGGGTGCCAGAGCTGCTCAGAGAGGGCCCGTTGGCCACTCCTGGCTTAACCAGCTCGGACTGCATCCATTTTGTACCCAAAGCCGAGGCCGTCAGCACCAGGACTGAGACTTCCTGTGGCCACCAAACAGGAAGAGACCAGCAACTCCGCATTACCTCGTCATTTTCATCTTTGCCAGTCCCTCTAGTCTTGGTTAGGCTGCCTAGGGCCACTATACAAGGTTAATCTCTAGAGAACTTTTGCTTCTGGGCTTTACTGTAAATATTTTGGTCATCAAAGACAAGTAATCCATCTCAGAAAAGAGGCTTGAATTTGATGGCCAAATATAACCTCTGAGGCACTTAACATTTTCATTAAGTGCAATTGCTACACATGAAATTAAACCTACGAAGAGGTGTTTGTGGTCTGAGTCAAAGCATTTTAAGACCTTGGGGTGTCATTTTAATCATAGAAGTCACCCCACCCCCCACCCTACTGACATTCTCCATAACTTGCCTCTGCAGAACTAATTGTTTTGATCTTGTTCAAGATGTTAACTGAAAGAACTGCAGTGGTGTTTCTTTTCACTTCCCACAAACCTCAGCCTGTGCCATCACCCCTAGGATGGTTCACATGGTTAAACACAAGCACAACGTTGAATCCCACAGCAAGGGTCAGAGGTCCCTAGCCATGAAAATAGTGCTTTGGGGTCAATGAGTACAGCTATTCAGAGAGAAGGATGCATTGAAGGGAAAATGCTCACATGACCTGTTCTCATTTGGATTACAGTAACGTGGTAGCTAGAGCTTCCCCCAGAATTATCATTTTAGCAACTTCTCTCTGGGATGACCATTCAGATTGAGAGCAGTTGCCTCTTTTCCTAAAATCCCACGCTAAATGCTAAAGCCGTCCAAGAGTTTTTCCTAGATGCAATACAGAAGGCCCTTGCTGGTGATGGCCTCATTTCCCATGTGAGTTCCAGGTGGTTTGAAGAGTGACATGCATGCCAGCAGAGCAGAGAGAAATTTGCAGCAATGTTGCTAATGTGTCATCAGACCTGTGGGAAAACTATTTCTATTCATCATGGGAACCATACTATTCTGCTAAAATCAGTTATTAGCATAGCAGCCTGAGTACTTAGGTCTCACATTTCATCCTGCAGGAGGATGTAGTTTTTCAGTTTCTTTTAATGTTCATATGATTATGGTGTCTAATTTAATAAATTACAGGATTGGAACTGCGATCCTTGGTACCACAGTCACAGAACTGGGGGTCATTTTCTAAATGAAACTAATGGAACAAGTTCTCTTACAACAAAGAAACTGTACTGTAGAAATTCATTTCCTCCATGAATTTTATATATTGTGTACAAATATAAGGTATGTATCTGAATACAAAAAAACTCTATCATCATGTAGATATCAGTATACTCTGTTATTGCACAGAAGTGATTTTCTCATGATGAAATAAAGTTCACACACATACTTTCTCCATAACTTTGGTTTGTTCTATTTGTTTCTCCCTCATTCTAATTCATTCAAACAGTAAGACAAGATTTAGAAAGCAAGAAAAAAATGTAGTGAATAGTTTATTTTTTAAAAAAAGATTTGATAAACTTGTAACAATAGCGCCTATAGAATTTAAATAGTTATATCTTTTTTGGTTTTTAGAAATCAGTGAGAAAAATGCTACTAACACAGTTTTGATATATTTCCTGCACTTACACTTTATTAATCTTATTTTCTACAGTTCCTGAAATGGTTTGTGTTAGAGATTTTTTTTCTCTGCTGGTACTAGGGTGGTGGGGTGTTTCGGTGGTTCATTTTGGCTTTCTACTATAACAAAATCTTTCACATTCTTCTTAGCAAGAGTTAATCCCTTTCCAAAGTTCAGATCTAAAAGTCTGTATCACAGAGGGGTACAATATCATATGTGATAGCTAGTCTAGCTTGTAATTACATGCATTTAGTCTGAGGTTTAAATTACTCATCACTTATACTCTTTGAACTGTCACAAAATCGTCTGCTGACCTAGAGGTAACATTATGCAGGGGAGATCAAATGTCTACATAATTATGAATTCTGATCTTTTTTTCAAAAGAGATTTATTTATCTACCTATCCATCTATTTATTGGGCAGTGCTTGTTAAGTGTCCACTGTGTACTACACTCTGAGAATAAAGTATTGAACGGACGTCACCTCTGCCGTTGTGGAGCTCAGTTACATATGTACAAATTGTGATAAACACTGAAAAAAGGAAAGGGAATCAGCAGGAAGACATAATTTTTATAGGAATATTGGTCAGGAAAACGATGAAAAACAATTTAATCCAATGGAAATTATAAAGAATGTGGTGTTGTTAAGAGAAGAGGAAAGGAAAATGCATCATTATACAAGTTCAAGTTTGGTCAGTTCCCTGAAAGCAAAGCTCCTGGGGTTGTACAAGGGTACTTTAAAAAGTTCGTGGAAAAATGGAATTGAAAGATATGAATCATTCCATGAACTTTTTGAAGACCCTTTATATCTATCCTATTTGCTGTGCAGATAAGGCCAGTCACAGATCTAAACCAAATTACCTTGACTTAAGAAGAAATATAACTGTAAGAAATTAAGAATTTTAATAAAATTTTAAAATAAGGCCCACAAATGTGGTTATGTGTATCTATAAAGTAATTCATTTAATAGCCATCATAGTTGCACCACAGTCTTTGAGACCATCTGCAAAAGAGTATCTGTTAAAACCACTCTGTAACAAGGCCTTCTTAACACAGTGCTCTGAGGCTCACTCCTGCAAAAAACTATCAGGCAAGGCTCAGAACAGGATAGAAATTTTTCTTTTTCCTAGTTTCCCTCTACCTATCTAAACAGACTGTGCCTTTTTTTTTTTTTTTAAATCTGGAGAGAACAAGAAATAAAGCAAATGTAATATTTCTAGGGCTCAAATAACTCACAGAGGTTATTAACTGGCTGAAAAAATAAGGTCCCTCCGATGTCTCTCAGTCCTCTCAGAGCTGTTGAATTGCTTCAGGCAGCCTCTTCAGCAAAGGGGGAGCTACCACTCACCTGTCCTTCAGGGGAATTAGAACACAGAGGGTCACAACCTCTACGCAATAAATACAGTACTCTTTAACAGAAATCTTTGTGGAAAATATTATTTTCCTTAGACAGATTCTTAGAAGTGGAATTACTGGACCAAAGAGTATGAACATTTTAAGGCCCTTGATCTGTGTTTCCAAATTGTTTTCCAGATACATTTTACACCAGGAATGTATGAACCATTTCATTTTGTTACATCACCTTAGTTCTACTATTTAGGGTTTAATTTCAACTAATAAGTAGGCTCTTCTAAAAATAAAAAAATGTTTCTAAAACAGTTTTTTTAATTTACATTTTTATAGAAGCAATATTCCGATTGTTTTACATCTAATAGCTACATGAAATATGAGATAACAACATATTATAGGAAAAATGAACTTTATCTAAAGAGGCAGGAAGACTTCCAAAGAAGGGTAGAGAGAGAGAGAGAGAGCGATCAAAACAGAGGGAATAACAGTATGCAAGCAAAAGCTCTATGCAAAGCAAAAACTTCAAAATTCTGCCTTGAGCTGACCATGAAAAGGAAATGTAGTCATCCAAAACAGTGACTGAGAACCTCAATTATGTTGGGTATTCAAGGGTCCCCAAGATCACAGGGCTGCATAAAGCACAGTTCCTGCCCTAGACCTTACAGGATTTATTCCTTCTCCTTCATGGCACCTTGCTCAGATCCCCCAAAACTATGGTATCACCTCACCTCTCTAGAACTAAGATATCCATCCTACAATCTAGATTGTCATCTTACATCCAGGAAGTAAGAACAATGACCTCTGATTGGCCAAAAACAAAAACAAAAAAGCACACAAAGTCCAGGCATAGAAGCTACTGTACTGTCTTCACTTCAGAACCCTTCGTCTCATTCAGTTCTCATTTACTCTTACATAGTTCTACTGAGCTCATTGACCCATTTGCTAAAACCACAGCAGACTAAAAGCATTACATTAGAAGAGAGAGGAGAGATTGTTATAAAAGTGAGTTGAGGCCATTGGCAGCATTGAGCAAGGAAGGTAACCAGGAAAACTGAAAAAAGACACAAAAAATTAAAAGGCAGTATTCTGTGGCAAATGTTCTAATTAAGAAGGTCAGAAAGTATATAATACAGTTTAGAAAGATTTCCACCTAAAACATTTGTCAATATATTTTCTAGAACCTCAGTGGGTTATTGGGTATATCTCAAAAAAGCTTTATGGAATCACAATATGAAATAAGCCAAAAAACGATTACATCAAACCCTACTCCATGTAGTGTCAAACTGCTGAGAACTTCCTTTATTGCCCATCAAAAGATTCCATTAAAAACGACAGCAACATGAAAGACAGAAAATATTTTTAGGATACTGAGATCCAGTGTCAGAACTATATAAAAAACTATCCTTTAATAGAGATTTTTTTTTCTGTCAGCCCTAAGACAGTTATATAGACTACAGACCACATCTCCATAGC